GAGAGAGAGAGAGAGAGTAATGGTGAGAAGAGTTTCCCCATATTCTTCCCTGGTTTTATCATGTTGGTGTGCTAAAGAAAAGTGTACGGATTGAATGGCAAAATTTTGGGGGAAATGGCTAAGTGTGATGCTGTTTAGATGAATAGGTACCTGTGGTCAGTGTGAGAATGTGAAAAGAGCTGACGGTGGTGAAGGTGAAAGAGTGTTAAATATTACTGTTAGAGGCATTGTTGTGATCGGCTTGTAAGCTGTGCATGTTTATAACGTGTTCATCTCCATGCTTACAATGTTTTGCTCGTTGCATTTACACCAGTTTCATAATTATTAAATGTGTATTGGAGCCTGCGTCTTTAACTAGAGTTTTATGTTGGCTTGAAACATTCGAAGAGTTGTTATGGGGAAGTAAAAGTCCTAACTTGCCAAGACATAGGTAAACTTCTTAAGGGCTCCTATGTGAATTGTGAATCACGCTCTGATTTCATGGAAACTTCACATCCATGATTCTTTCGCTTCACACTGGATGACCTCAGTTGTGATTTGTACATAGTAAATGTTAGCAGAAACTTCCACTCGTTAGACTTCAATGCTGGCTGTTTAGGCCATATCGTCTAAGGGTATTGCTAAACACATGTTTGAAGGCATCTCACTGAGGAACCTCAGGCCTTGAATGTGTTATGGCTAATTACAGATAAACTTGGTAGGCTGATTTTCATGGGCTCTACTGGGTTTCGTCTCTCTACCAAGGTAGACGTGGAAGCTCTTTTGACTTGCTTAAAGGGCTTCTTATACTTTTGTTGGGTCCTAGATTGTAAAAGAGACATTTCACTCATGTCATTAGTTGGAACTTTAGAAAAGAGTGGTAAACCTAGAGATTCATGAGTATTATGAAAGAATTTCAAGAGAGGGAAGGTGTGTCTATCTCTTATGTCTATGTACTCAGGGAAGCTAATAGTAGGTGGATGCCCTAACTCGTAAGGAGTGCTTGGGAACTCCTACTGGTGGGGGTTACTTTTACTTTGTGTGACCTTTCTTTCAATTTTTGTGTTTCTGTTTTTGTTTTTCCTGGTTATGTTCTTAGGTTAAACTGTCAATTTAGAACTTGTTTTAGTTTTTGCTTTCCTAGTTATGTTCTTAGGTTATACTGTCGACCTAGAACAACACTAGTTAGGAGAGGTGATTTGGTTCTAGTGGAAGGGGAAGGCCCAAAAGGACATGAATGAAAGTAATGAGAAGAGATATGGTGACTTATGGTCTAATTGAGGTTATGGCCCTTGATAGATCGGAATGGCGGAACAAGATTATAGCTGACCCCAAAAAGTTGGGATAAGGCTTGGATAATGATGATGATGATGATGATGATGATGTTCTTAGGTTACACTGTATTGCAACCTGTCACAACTGTCTTGTTGCTTGTGGAAACCTACATCGTTTGTTTGTAAGACATGTTAACATGGTAATTTATTGTAAAATTTCCATTTATTAGTTGGTTGAGGAATGGTGGTACCACGCTCTCTATAGATTCTTTTTGGTACTTGTTGGAATTATTGGGACCATGTCATTGGATTGTGTTGTGCATTTAGGCGGTTAAGGGATGATGTTCCATGTTCTAAGAGGTATATTGGAAGTTTTCTCTGAATCATCAGATTTGTCTGCTATCCACTGCATTTGTGGATATTGTGCATGCACTGTGCAGGTTGGCAGACTTTGTAGGGGACGTGTGACAATCTTCTTTCTGTGACAATCTTCTTTCTTGATTAATGTAGATATCTGCAATCATGACCATAATAAATGAGGGTTCAGGGTTATGGAATATCATGCTTTTAGGTCTGCCTTTGAAAATTATAAATGCAGCACAATTTTCTTGTGCTAATAACTCTTCTACTTAAAATAATGAAGTATACAAATTAGTATAATCATGTTTAAAATTTATTAATATAGTCATATTCCAATATATTCTTGTCTGTGTACTGATGTTGATTGTTCTTGGTCATCTGATTTTGGTTTGTCCTCTTTAGCTTTTCACTATATTCCGTTTATGATGCTTTTGAGTAGTTGATTTACTGTTCTGGGGCTTTCTACATGTCTCTCAGCTAGTTCACATGCATAATACTTCTTGCTCAAATGTTTCTTAACTGTTCGGTGCTTTTCGGTCTTTCTATCATTAAATTGGAGTTTTGGGCAACTTCTCATTCAGTCTTTGTTAATTAGTAGGATCCTATCCCTATGTTTGTCTTGCTTGCTTTTAATGTTGCAAGTGTGTTTTCCCTCTGAATTTAAACAAATATATGATTTGTGAAGATTTTATTTTGATTGGAGTATGTTATCTATATCCATTCATTAATTGCAGGTTCTAGGTCTCAAGGTTGGGGCAAAAAACCCTCTATTGGGAAGGAAGCAATTGCCAAAATAATTGATGACACTTACAGGTGACTTGTATTTCTAAGGATGCCTGCAATTATTTTACGAAATAATTGATGACACATACAGGAAACTAATATTTCTGAGGATGCCCTGCAATTATTTTAGGAAGTCAACTTGTTTTGTGATGGATAACTTTTTTTCCTAATTCGTTTGGCAAGGATCTTTCTTGCTTGAATTTATACTGCAATGTGTGTTGGAGGATTTTGAGTATGATTTAGGTTGGAGTTTTGTTGCATTTATATGAACTGAGTTTGTTGAAGCCTTTATGGAAGGATCACTTTCCCTTTTTACTTCAAAGTTCAAACCAACCTTGGATCCGTTCTTTATATTGCTGCACTAAAGTCCTTTATGACAGGAAAATGCAAGGCCATGGTGCAGTTGATCTTGCATCAAAGGGTCAAAACGGCACTAGTTTGCATGTTGTGAAGCCTAAAGAAGAAGAAGATGATGGTACACCGTTAAATATGAATATTAGGTGCCCATGTGGAAGCTCGTTGGTAACTGATTCGATGATCAAGGTACAACTCAGTATTTTTATTCTTTGTTTGAGATAATAAAATCTTTTATTCGAGAGTTACATTCTTTATAGAATGTTCTATTTGGGAGAGTCATGTATGGAGCATGTAACGTGGAAATCCAGTAAAGTTCTATTCCTTATATGGCGAGTTTTTCTCAAGTTCCATGCCCCACTAGAATGAACCACTTATTAACAATTAATTCCATGCACTCACCTGCCCATTCAGGAGTGTAAAAGGAAACAGCCTGGACTGCCCAGCTTTGCAAAGGTACAGGCCTTTCTATGCCCTTCTTATTAAGAAAATGCTGGCAAAAGGCTCAAATCCCTATGAGATGAAGATCAGATTTTCATTTGTTTCCAGGGAACTTCATTTTTTGATGGAATTTTTGGTCTGTCTCTATAGGGATCAACAGATTTTGTAAACTCTCTTTTTGATGATTTATCTTTTTCTCTTTGATGTTTGAGATTGGCTTTCAAGAATATATCATTTATTCACGCTAACTTACTCTGCAAACATGTAAAAGAGAACATTGACCTGTGTCACTTTGTCAGGAACGTCCTAGTCCAATAGATCCGTGTATTCGGACTTGCAAATTTGTGTCTTACTGTTGTTCTCTATAAACGAGATGATCTTGTGGGATACCTATTATGAATCTTTGTGAACTCAGACTAGCACACCATTTTTCCCAACTAATGCATGAGGACTCCTCCGGACCTTTGATTCTTATTGGGCCAGAAGAGCCATGGAATCTTTGCGGCATTGTGGTTTGGAAGGTGTCTGTTAGTCCTTATTGTGCTGCTCCAAGTCCCCAAACCTGTTCTTTGTAAATATTTGGCTCATAAGAATTTTAGTTGGGTAAATAAGAGGAAAAGATCCCCTAGCTCATATGCATTGCTCATGTTTGAATATGACCAGAAATTCCCTGGCTCTTCTTCTGCTTTGCGATAGTTTTAGCCATATACTTGTGGAGTCAGGTTTGTGTGCTCTATGAAGGATGGTCTAAAGCTATGCCGGCATTCTATTTTCCTTTTTTGGATCGCTGTCATTTACTGAGCCTTTTCCATAGAATCATGTAAAGAGTCTATCCTTGAGACTGCCTAGATTATTTATCATTTTTGCTGCATACAAATCACCAAAATTTTATTAGTTTTTTTGGATGTTCTTTTTTGTTTTTCTTTTAAATCCATTGCTGATATAGTGTTGATTCAAGTTATTTGGGCAAGCTGTATATCTGCTTTTTGCCAGTAATGTTGATGTGAGCTGGAGGTTAACACTTGCCTTAATGATGCCCTCTGTCCGGCAGGACTTTTTATTGCAGCAAAGTTACTTGTGGATGCTGTAAATTTGTGTGCTTCATCTCTTTGCCACTTGACCTGTGATTTATTTATTTTGCTAGTGATGTTTTGTTGCATATGAACCTTCTGACCTGCATCTCTTTTTATTGCTGGTTTCTCTAGGTAATAAGATTTGTTACCAAATCACAGTGTCATGGTCTATGGGGGGATGTGATGGTCAAACTTCATAAGTTGATGTATATTAATGAACTTTGATCCTTTGCCTGCAGCATAAAGCTGGCTCTGCATATACATTTTTTCAAGTTACAGATGTACACTAACATTGTGCTGTACACTAGACTCTTACAGTTTATGTTCTAACATTTAATAACCTCCAATGCTTTATCAAAAGTTGTGGGGACAAATGATGTTCCATTTTTGCCAGTATATACTCTCTAAATTCTATATAATATATACATTATTGTAAAATTGCAATAGAGATATAAAATATTAAAAATATTTTTATGAACAAATAATTATATAAAAAGAATTTAAAAATATTTTATATTTTTGATAGAAAATGTGGCTTAGATACCACAAGATTCTAATATTTAATACCACAAGACTGATATTTAATATTTTAAAATGACTCCTTGGTGTATGAATTATAGGAATCTGACAACTAATAAAAATCATGTCCACCGAGGATGTAACTTATAAGAGAGTGTACTTTACTTGCCAAACAATTGAAAAGCACATTGCTTTGATAAGTTCCAGTTGCATCTTCTGATATGATGCACATTATGCCCTTAGGACACTAAGTAAGATTGTATGAGGCTTTTCTGTGTCTAATCTGTGCACAGACTGCCATATACCATTATCAAGCTTCCATTTTGTGTTCATGACACTAAAACTTTTATCATTTGCTTTCCTCTTCTATATTTTTTAGGTCTGTCTGTCGGATGCTCACAAACACACCCAATGTCATGTTAAGTTGGGACACTGTAAGCAAGAACTGGCTGCTATATTGCTGTAGTGGGGTTTGGGACGCTGTAAGCAAGTACTGGCTGCTATATCATTGTAGTGGGGTATAAAATCCATGTTCTGAGGGCATCATATGGAATTGAAGCATCATATATAAACTACAGTACTTCCAAATCAACTTCATCACTTCCTTTCCTTCCTATAGGGTGTTAGTGAAATTGTGAGTTATCCTGGGGCTGTTTAATGGTAAATAGTACTGCTATTTCTTCAGTTCCTCAACTGACAACTACTGTTATCATGCCTTCCCTTCCATGTCTTTCCACAAGTATTTCCGCATTGACCTCTTACAATCTACTCTAGATGGTTTAGTTGGAAGTTTGATATGTAATGGTAGATGCCCCGGAGTTCCTTTGCTTGGGTGTCAGTGTTATCTGGGTTTTCAGTCTTATTCTTCAGTTGTTTTCCATTTGTTCTTTCTAATCCTTCAACCAGGTCCCTAAGAATACCTAATCTGCTTATCACAAGAAAAGAAAAGGAAAAAAAAAAAAACAGACCTGATTTGTTTGTTCTTTTTGAGAGTTCAGCGCTTGTGGCCCTGAGAATAACCACAATGCCTCTTGTTTCGTGAAATGCTTTATGCATTAACAATTTTGAAAGATGGCTGAAATTCCCTTTAAATAAATGAAATCTGGACAGCATAATATCTCATTTTGTTAATTTCATTTCCAATGATATGTAATTTGAGTTTGACATGCATGCATGATATTCTCAGATGTCCTATTGAGCTTGTGTGAGCTGAATGTAGTTTTATTTCAAAGTGCATGTTACTTTCAGATGTTTTGAATCCATGGATCTCTTCCCAGTTTAGGAGACGTGTAGAACTCCCCCATTTACAAAATTAATTGCATAAATATGACTTCTTCGATCTGTCTGATAGATTTCTTGAAATCTCCACAGCTTGAGGGTTTTTTTTTTTTGTTTTGTTTTTTAATTAAACCTGTTCACTTTTATTCAATAAAATAATTCTCCTGTTTCTTAATGCAAAGGTGGTAAGGCAGCTCTGGACATGCTCTCTCTCTCCCCATCTACACATATACATACATATATATACATACATAGGTACGTACATACATAAATACATTGATACCACATTCATCCTTACATATGTGGCATGTACATACATGATGCATAGAATACGTACATAACTATGTACAAATATATATATTTTTTGATAAATTATGCATTCATTTGCCTCACAATATTGGTGGAAGCATGGGTTTGGGACTCTCTTTCTCTCTCTCTAGTTCTCGCTTTCTTAATTACTTTGAGGCATCTCTAGGTGGTTGTATACCTAAAGAGAAACCCTGAAAACCACCCAAAGTATGAAATATATTGCTGGCTCTAACCCACATCTCTTCCAAAAGGATGATTGCATCATCAAATGCCGAAAGCGGAAAATACTGAGACAAACAAATTTAAGAGAGGTCTCTTACCTGCAGCTGTCCCTTTCTCTTCGACTCTCTCTTTGGCTATTTTCACAGAATATATTTTTGAAAGTTAAGTGGTTCATGATTTTATTGATTGTATCTGTTTTGGTACTGGTGGGTGTTCTGTCAATGTTTCTAATCGTTGTAGATTCAATCTATTTTCCTTGATTGTATTTGGAGGATGTCGTGTATTTCTCGAAGGTCAAAGATTTTAATGATTTAGATGTTCATTTCTTTGCTTAATGCTGCAGCTAAGGTATTTGAAATTATTTTCATTTGCTATCAATTTTGACATCTCAAACATATATAACAGAAAACGATATTCTCTATCTTCTCTCTGGTGCTTGGCTATAGTGCTTCCCTGCATTGCTGGCTGGCTGAGGTTTAAGTTCTATCTGTAGGGTGCATGCATGTTTTGTTTCTAATCCAAAGCGCTCCTAAAAAATGTTAATTTTGGCTGATCTCAGTATGAGTGAACTGCTAATTATTCCTTGACTTCAGCAACTTACATTGAATTATCTACTTTGATCTCATGGTGCAGTGCCAGGATTCTAAGTGCCACATTTGGCAACATTTGGGTTGCGTCATTATTCCTGAAAAACCTGAGGAGGGTATGCAACCAGAAGTGCCAGCTCAGTTTTATTGTGAATTATGTCGAATCAACCGAGCAGATCCGTATGTGTCATTCTCTTTTCCTTGTAAACGATCTATTATTTCTATATCTGATGTTTTTGAGTATAACATCTCTCTTGTGCTGCTAATTCTGTTCAACCTGATTACACAGCATCATTTAGACACTGGAAATCTGTTTAGATATTCATATTTTGGTTTCTTTAGTGTTGATAACAAGTAGAATTAATTATGGGAAAACGGGAGCGGGTTAGGCTCTACCAGGAGTCTTGCCTCTTCTTCTATGTTATCTACTGAAGAAATTCCCAAAACCCTTGGGAGGTTTTGTGGGGCAGAAGGTCTCAAGCCCTAATCTATTTCTAGCCATGCCCAAATTAGCCAACTTACCCTTCAATTTGGTTCTGAAGATATCTAGCAACTTGATCTAATTCCCTTGAGTCAACTCTTTTCAATTCATATTATATATCTCTTTATTCTGGGTGCATAAGTTGTAAATGGTTGCTGCAAGTAGAAACGAAAATGAGTCCACTGGCCAAAATAACATGCTCCCCACAATTTTCAAAAGACTACCCAAGATGTGTTTGAATTTAGGCAAAATCTTATGTTTATTAGGAAATGCATTTTCTTTGTCAGTTTAGAAATATACACTTGTCAAGCTGGTTTGCATGACTTTTCACTGGTACCTAGTGTCCGACCTGGGAGTTTGAGGACTTCTTCCTTTCATTAGTTCTTTATTAAGATGTACTGAATTTTGGGACTTTATCCTGAAGCTTGTATTTCTCAACCAGATATTCGGTCCTAGTTTTTCTTCATTTTCTATCTTAAATGTTACATCATTCAGCGAACAGCACCATATAATGACTACTTGAGAAGCATACATGTGTTAATGATGTGAGTTCGAAGCTTCAGCCTTCCATCCTCTGTTCACCCTGCTCTTTGCATCTGGTAAGATTGATAAGTACTCTCTCAAGTAGGTCTTTACTCTCACTTTTGGCCCTTCTCCGGAGAGGGTTCCTACCCTCTCCTTTCTGCATTCTCTCTCTCCTCTTTGCTTCTTCTTTACCTTCTCTCTCATTCTGGAGAGGGGTTCTATCTTTTCTTTTATTGCTTTCTATCTCTCTGCTTCCTCTCTTTCTCTCACGATATTGGACCTTTCACTCTCAACCCTACAAGCCCATTTTAGATCTTCCGAGTAAAGCATTTAGTATCCAACCGCCGGCTTTATACCTTAAATATCAAAATCAGATCTACCCCAACACAAACTCAACCACTACCACCCTGGCCCCACAACACATGCCTTTGCACCCTGCAGCAACCAATACACAATCCTCTCTTAACCCCTCAAACCTTAGCACACCAAGCGCACATTTTAAACTTGAGCCATGTTTTAAACCTGTAAATCTACCCCTTAAAGCTTCCTAGCTCAGACTCTTCAAAATGAACCATCCTCTACTCTAGTGTATCAAAAAGCGCTAGGCGGTCCTAGGCGGCCTGGGGGGTCCGGGCCGCCCAGCACCTAGGCAGCCGCTTAGGCGGGTGCCCAGAACCTGGGCGGCTGGCAGTTGAAATTTGAAAAAAAAGTAAACCATACCAAATTATTACCAATATAATACCATATTCCAAGTTGAAAAAAAAAAAGATAGACATTGAGAAGAGAATTTTGATAATCCATATTGTTAAAACAGTAAAATGTAAAACCATACAAGTGTAGGTAGGATATAAAAGTCAACACTCAACACAACAGAAATTTAGAAAGTATACAGTATAACAAAAGTCAACACTCATGACTCAAGTCGGTGGGGATTTGGGCCCCTACCCTTTGGTGAGAATGTAGTCAGAAACTTCATCATAGGGCTCGTTGTTTCATCTAGAGTTTCCTCTAACATTCCCACCATGTGGCTTTTATTATTGCTTCTTGTGGGCGCCTTCTTATCCTTGTGCACATGTGGATGGGTGGTTTAGTTGATATTTTCATTGAGATTTAATTGCTAATCCCATAGCATGTTCCATTAGCTCTGACAAGCCTGGTTCTATGTTGTTTGATGTGTGTTTTGATGTGGTCTGTCTTTTAAATTGTCATCTATGGTGGAAAGAACTTTTTCCTTATGGTGAAGTTGATGCTTTCCCATGCAGTGATGCCCTTTGCTTTATCTTGTTTCTCTCTTTTTTTCTTTTCAATTAAATTTATATACTAGTGTTATTTTCCATTTCATGATAGTTTATGTCTCTTTGCCTCTCTGGTCTCAATAGTTCATTCGCAATTTTCTTGTTTTTTTTTTTTGCAACATTGCTATCCTGGTGGTTGCAGTTCTCTCCCTCTCAGCTCCCTCCCACAATGACAAGAATGTTAAACACATGAACACTTATTTTTTGCTTTTAAATTTATTTTTATTTTTCAATATTATTTTTCCAATTTTCAATTCTAATGAATGAGGAGCTAGTCTTCCCAATGTTTCAATAGTCCAGTGACAACTAGCTCCATCATTCTCTCCTAGTTTGTGACTGTATAGAATGAAGTGTGCCATGCTTATTGTGAAGTGCTATGTTTTTGTATTTGGTAATGTTTCTTCGACTTTCTTCTCCAAACTTACCATGTGGCTTCATTGATTTGTACCAAAAATATTTGTTAAAGCTATGGGTTTTGTTATTTGTGGTTGCGATTGTCTAGCCTTGCTCATGGCTTTAAGCTTAGCAACAGAAGAAATCCTATTTAGTTGCATTGTTCTATAAATCTATTATAAGGTTTCTTGGGGACTGTTGGCCAGCACTTTGGTCTTCATTGATAGAAAATTGGTTTTTATTTACCTTATCTGTTGCTATATGCAGTTTCTGGGTGACGATGGGACATCCTTTATACCCGGTGAGGCTAATAATTGCAAATCCTTCGACTGACGGGTGGGTACATCATTCATGCTGAATTGAAAAATTGAAAACCTAAATTTTGCTAATTTTTATTTGAGTGGTTGGAACTGTTTGATGCTGAGTGGAATGCGTGGAATACTTCTTTTAATCATGCTATAACATGATATATATTGATCATTATGGCTTTTCAACAATTAATTGCACAGGCGGCATATTAATTTATTTCTTTGTGTAAGAGTTTAATGCCCTTTTTCAGATCAAAAGAATTTCTTAATGTCTTATGTGGTATTTAGTGATGAGTCAGAGGTTTGCACCAATGAATAACGGCTCCTTACTGTGTATTACTAATACTTTTTAATGTTAATTGATACGGTCAAACTGGTCGGCTTGTAAGTGTTTCCTTTTTCTTTGGCTTGGTTAATCATGCGTCCTTCATTTTCTATTCCTAGATAAAAAGAAGTCTGGTTATCACTCTTCAATCTGCGTTGAGTGGTATTTCTGGTCTTTTTCTTGGAGGAAATCTTGTTTATTAAAAGTTCTTTGCTGGATCTTGTTTACTAAATGATATTCTTGCTGGTAACAAATTGTTTGTATTGCATTCACTTGGTTTCTGCTACTGCTTTTTTTATATTGATGCATGGACGGACAGTCTAAACAGACTTTTCCTTCTTATAGTTATCATAGACTGCATTTCATTTGTGAAATCTATTGTATGTTTGAAATTGTGAAATGGAGGAGTTGCTGAAAAATTGACATTTCAAAACGAAAGAGGACTCGACAGACACCTGAGAAAGGACCTTAGTGTCTATATGCATAAAATATGATTAAGTCAACACCATCCTCTGAGTCAGGTACAAAATAAAATGGGGAAGAGAAAAAAAGTAAGAGAGAGAGAGAGAGAGAGAGAGAGAGAGAGAGAGGTGGTGGTAGAAGAAGTAGAACGAACACACAACAACACGAGAGAGAGAGAGAGAGAGAGAGAGAGAGAGAGAGAGAGAGAGAGAGAGAGAGAGAGAAGAGAGAGTAGTAGTAAGTAGTAAGTAGTAAGTAGTAGTACGTAGTAGTACGTACGTACGTACTACGTACTACGTACGTACGTACGTACGTACGTAGT